ATTTGTCTAACTTCAGTAACAAACTTATGAACCTTATACAGTGCATTTATATAGTTTGTAGAATTCAGAATATTTATAACCAAAGTAGACTATGGAAGGGACTATTATCGGAGGTAGTTTTTGCCATGTTCTCGCTTATGATAGTTCGAGTTATACGTCCTGTTAACAATGTTAACAGTTCCTATTTCTTGCATTACGAATAGAGCGCTACTCGACAAGTAAAATATCCACTATTAATGTTAATAGAACGCTCCAAATATGAAATATTATTAACTATTAATCAGAGACTAGATCACTAAAGATAAATGTTCTATACATGTTGTACACTGTTATCTAAATATATTATGCACATTTTTAAACTTTTTTATTATTATTTAATTTTTATTATTATTTAATTATTTAATTGTTTAATGATCGACAAAATGATCGACAAAAAATAGAATAATGCAGTAAATATAATCTCAAGTGAAAAGGAAGCTATATAATAAAAAATAAATAATAAAAACGGAAAGTAAACGAGTAAATAGATTGACACTTTAAAAAGAATTCCTCTTTTTTAAATGAAGAATTGAAAAAGCAAAGCTCTCTTTCATGTACGACTGGCTGGCGAAATGTGCACTCATGAATATATCAATGGCTCATTTTTTAGAATTGTTAGTTTCAGAATCCCTTTGATACGTATCCCTTTAAACGCATTTTCTAAAAAATAAAATTGCTTCCTTGTAATTCTTTATTTTTCTTTTCCAAGGGAAGATGCAGTGATATGCGTCTTTGTGTTTTGTAAATGGGTAGCTGCAAAGGCAACAGCAATTTGATGTTATGATAGTTGCATCAAAGAAATATACGATATATGGCATACATAAAACATACAAGGAAAGATATATGAGAAGTATAAGAAGATTTTGAGAGAAAATTTTAATATAGATGAGAAATTTCGATGTCATGCGAGGAAATGTTCGTTTCGTCTTGCGGACAGCATATGTCTGAAATACGTGTCATTATGATAAGTAAAGTAACAAATGTTATGTTATCGCATGTCTTGATGTTGAAATAAAACGAAAGTTAATGCTATTGCCATTAAAAGATCGATGATCGCTGAGGCCAGTTTACGGTCCAAGTTAATAATACATATTTTTGAATTGTAGTTTTTGAAACAAACATGCTCATTCGGGAACAATTGATTACGTGAACATTAGAACTGATGCGAATAAAAAGGAGAATAAAAAGGAGGTACGACATGCATATAATTAAATTTGGCTCTTCCATATCAGGCCGTTGATTATGTCAAATTGCTGTTTATGAAACAGAAGGGAGATAAATAACATGTGTTATTTATGTAAGGGAGATTAATAACGTGTTATATTCCATTTGCATTTTTGATGGCACAGAGTAAATATAAATCCGAAATTCGAAAAAATATGATTGCTTGTCTGAAAATTACATACATTCGTTAAAATAAAGTAAATATTTTTTCTAAAAATATTTTTCTAAAAATATTCTCTCTCTCTCTCTCT